GATGATTTCCACTTTTCCTCTTCTTCTCTTCTCTTTCTCTCCTTTCTTCTTCTTTCCTCTTTCCTTCCAAATGTTTTTCTAACTTTCTTTTCTTTCTTTCTCTCTTATATATATATATCCTTCATTTTCCTTCCTCTCCAATTCCTTCTCAATTCTCTATTAATTCCAATTAATAAAAAAAATTTAATTTCTAACATTAACCAAAATCCCACTAAATCAATTAATTACTACAATTAATTATTTAATGAAATTTGGGCTGTTACATCCTGTCTTATCAAGCATGCTGCATGCAGGGAATCAATTCATGGGACAAATTTCCAAACACTCAAACACTTAAACTCTCAAACTCTCAAACACTCAAACTATTTAATAGAGTCTTTAAACTCTTTAAACTCAAACACTCAAACTATTTAATACACTCTTTAAACTCTTTAACCTCAAACACTCAAACTCTTTAAACTCTAAAACTGTCAAACTTTAAAACTGTCAAACTCTCAAAGACTCAAACACTAAACTCCTTAATACAGTCTTTCCAAACACAATTTTTGCTATGTCTCAAATACCACAATATATGATTTCCGCACATCTTAACGGTGAAGTTTTTGAATGTGAAATATCGGGTTACAATTTCAGAAACACTGATGTTACAAGATTTTTAATTGACAGAAGGTCTAATTTTTTTACACCTTAAGTCTAGAATAGATTAAAAACTGCAATGTGGTCCAATTGGGCAAATAATATACAAAAATACAGTGTTTTTTGGCGGCCATGTCGAATGTAAGTTTTTCCCGTTAAAGGTGCGAGACGATGACGATGTGCGTAACATGTTCTGCACTCACGAGTATTATGGTTTCTCAGATGTCGTGTTACATGTTACGTTACAACAACAACAACTGTCTCAACAACTTGATTCTTCTCAAGTTTTTTGCGATTCTAATGAGGAACACGCTGAAGTCAATGTCATTGACGAAGAAGAAGAAGCAACTGAAGTCACTGTTAATGAGATGGTGAACAACCAGGAGGATAGGGTTCCACCCGGCCATGTTTATTGTCCACCTCAGCATATGACAACTCTCGACTTAGGTGGCGATGAACCCTCGACGGATATTTTCTACAACCCCAACTACGCAACAGAAGGGCAACTAAAAGAGGGTGACGAGTTTCGTACCAAAGAAGATTGTGTCCGGGCAATCAAACAATTTCACATGGAGTTGTCAACCGATTATAAAGTCGATCGGACAAATCTGACGCGGTATACGATATATTGTGGTAACGAGGAGTGCCCGTTCCGATTAACAGTGTCTTTTAGGAAGAGAAGCGATTCCTGGAAGATAGGGTCAATGGGTCCGGACCACATGTGTATAATCTCGAATCTGATGCAGGATCATCGCAAACTCAGCTCTCGATTGATTTGCGATGAGATTCTGTCAGTCGTTAGCGACAACCCATCTTTGAAGGTGAGTACCATAATTGCCCATATGGTTCAAAGGTACAATTACACTCCTTCATACCGAAAAGCCTGGATTGCTAGGACTAAAGCGGTTGAAAGGGTGTTTGGAAATTGGGAGGAGTCGTACAAGGAACTTCCAAAATTCCTGGTGGCTCTTAAACACTACTCTTTTGGGCGTTTGAACCATGCATCAAAGGGTTTGCATATTGTAAACCTATAACTCAAATTGACGGAACTTGGTTATACGGGAAATATAAGGGCACACTGCTCATGGTTGTGGCACAGGACGGGAACAACAACATTTTTCCAATAGCCTTCGCTATAGTAGAAGGGGAGACTGCTGGGGGTTGGAGTTTTTTCTTAAAAAATCTCCGCTCTTATGTGTCTCCCCAACCTAACTTATGTTTGATCTCTGATCGACACCCATCAATCGAGAGTGAATACAACAACCTTGATAACGGTTGGCAGGATCCTCCCTCGACCCACGTCTATTGCATAAGGCATATCGCCCAAAATTTCATGTGGGAAATCAAAGACAAGATGCTACGGAAGAAGGTTGTGAACGCAGGATATGCACTAACAAAACCCACATTCAAATACTACCATGATGAGATCAGACTAACAAACGCGGATGCATTAAGATGGATTGATAATATTGATAAGGAAAAATAGACACGGGCATACGATAATGGAGTGCGATGGGGCCATATGACAACTAACCTCGTCGAATCAATGAATTCTATTTTCAAGGGAATCTGAAACCTCCCGATAACTGCCTTGGTAAAGGCAACATATTTTAGGCTAGGATCATTCTTTGATAGCAGACGTACGAAGTGAGGTTCAGTATTACAATCAGGTCAGCTGTACAGTGATATTTCAATGAAATTCATGAAAGACGAAGCTGCCAAAGCCAACACACACGTCGTCACGATCTTTGACCGTACAATTGATTGGTTCAGTGTTGCTGAGTCGATTGATCACAATGAAGGAATGCCTAGGGGATGTTACCGTGTTGAAATGGATAAAAGCTGGTGTGATTGTGGGAAGTTTCAGGCATTCCGTATTCCTTGCTCTCATGTTATAGCAACATGTTCGAAGGCGCGCCAGGACCCAACCAACCTTCTTTCTGCAGTCCACCAAGTGATAAGTCTATGCAATTTCTACACATGTAGCTTTCAGGTGGTGGTAAAGGAGGACTATTGACCTCAATACGAAGGAGAAATTTTCTGGCATAATGACTTGATGCGCAGAAAGAAAAAGGGTCGGCCTAATAGCACGCGCATTTGAACGGAGATGGATACCGCAAACAAGCTGGTAAGATTATGTAGTTCGTGTCGGCAACCAGGACACAATCGTACAAAATGTCCTAATGTAGGATCAAGCAGCAGGTCATAGTTTCATATGTAACTGTGTCCCTTTAAATGAATAACAAATTTCATTCGATTAAAAACATACTTAACAAATTACAATTAGCAAGCAACATCAATTAAACAAACATAACTTAATATCACAACAACACTCCGAAAATAACAACAACATAAACACATAAAACAAAACACTGCACCAAGGCGTCTACGATATCACAACCATCAACGTTATCTTCTTTGATGTTAACATCATCACAAGGACACCGACATCATTTTCCACTTTCCTCCATTCACGAGTAACTCCGTTTCTCCCAGTCTCCTCGACCAACCTCGCAATTTTCCTAATCTTTTCTCCTGGACCAATATCTCCTTCTAGCCAGCGGTTCAGTTCCCTATGCAAGTGCTCCAACGTCTGCGTATTCCACAGGAGCACCTTCATCGGAGGCTTTGTTGCTGAAAAGACAACTAGGGCATTTCTTTTCATTAGATCGAATGTTGGAAAGGGTTCCTCCGATTCTGATGACGACGACGAAGAACGTTGATTTAAAAATGCAGACATTCTAGACTCCACTCCACTCAAAATGCACTAACGCTTCAGTCTTTTGGTATACAATGTTGTGAAAACATATATGTATTTGCAGTCGTATTTATAGAAAAATAAAATAGTACGTGCCCTATATGATATGTCTTAAATACCCTTACAAAATTTATACACTTTAAAATACAATGGTTAATCAATTTTTATGTTTTAAAATTTATAATTTAAATCAATTTATATGCTTTAAAATTAAATTGTTAATCAATTTTTATTTTGTATTTAAATTAATTTATAATTAAAATTTTAAAAATATTTATAATTTAAAAATAATAATAATTACTTATTTTATAATTATTACTTAAAAACAACAAATTATAATCACAATTATATTTATATTAAACCTAAATGTATAAAAACAATATTTATTAAACCTAAATTTATAAAATCAATTTAATTTAATTTTTAATTAAACTTAAATTTATTAAATTAATTTAAAATTATTTTTATTTAAATCTAATTATTTTAAGTTTATTAATTAAAAACTTAATTTTAATATTATATGAAAAAAAAATAATAATTATGTTTATTAATTAAAAACTTTATTTTAAATAAATAAGAATAATTATGTGTTAAAATTATAAATTAAAATATTAATTAAAAATAACAAAAAAAGAAAACCCTAGTTTTTGAACTAAGTCGCTAATCAGTATGACGATTTCATTGCAAGTCCAAAACTGTCGCCAATTTGTTTGGCAATTCCATGCAAGCGCAAATTCGTTTTCAACAATGTTGCAATTTTATTCGGCGACAGAAGATTGAATTTTGACTATTTTAAAATTATTTTTGAAACTTTTATTTTTATGATAAATAAGAAACATTACTATAAAAAAATTCACAATGAGTTTAAGTGTGAGAGAAATATAACACTTCAAATTCATCCCCAACTTAAAGTTTGGAGACACCCGCACCTACGCCCAACTTTAACACAGTTTTTCTCTTAAATTAAGTTCAGAACTAAACTTTAAAGTATAAATAAAAAATATAACCACCGACATTATTAAAACAATAAACAAAGAAGAGTTGGTGTGAAACACACATTATGAAATATTACTGTGTGTTTGGTTGAATTGGCTCTGAGAAGTTAATGACTGATTTTAAATATCAATCTGTTTTTTCTTTTTATTCAAGTTTATAAAAATGTGAGTTCAATTTCTATTAAAGAAATAATTTTTTTAAAATAAATAATCTATAAATATTAAAATATTCATAAATTTTTTTTAACAAAAAAATATTTAATATTAAAATTTATTTTAAAAATAAATAAATAAATAAAATATCATAGATTCTAATTATTACGACAATATGTTTTAGTACAGTAACAATGCTCTGAGTCTCACAGCATGAATTATGGAGAAAACACCGGTTGAAAAAATTCACCAAAACATTGAACTTTAGACACAACACATGTGCATCCAAAATAGCTTTTTCCACAATTTTAATTTAAAAAAGTGCTTTTTTCTACGTGATTTTTGGTGAGTGCTATCCATCATAATTTCCTAAACTCTTTTCTCTCTCTCCAATATAAAAACAAACCCAACCTCTCTTTCTACTTCACTTCCACTTCCATACTTAGCTCAAAGCTCAAATGGCGGTGCCTCTTTCTATAGCTTGTCTAGCTTTGCTCTTTGTTGCTTCAGCTTTTGCTTCTCTTCAGCCTAGAATACCAGAAGGTATAATAATGTTCACATTTTCTTTGTTTTCATATGTTCATATTTTGGATTACATACATTTTGCTTTTTATATGTTTTGTTATGTATAGCTTTAAGATCTGTTATTGATGATGAACTTTGATTTTTGTTTTAGTTATTTTCTGTTTTGGATTTTGTTTAAGTCTTTGCAGTTTTGTTCGTTAAGTCAGATCAGTTGATAGTTTTGGTAGTCGTGTAGGAACGTTCTCCAATTCGGTTAAGTCAGATCAGTTGGTAGTTATGTAGGAACATGCGACATTCTCCAATTCGACGTGATGGAGTTATGTTAGTAATTTCACCGTTAAAATTCATTGGACTGGATTCAATGAGTTTTAATGGTGGGATCACCGACATAACTCTCTCATGATGGATTCTAATAGAAGAGAGTCGAAATCTCCGTCTCGTTGAATTGAGAGTGGAGGATTAGAGACTATTGTTACTCTAAATATGAGACTGTAGAGCAGTGTAGTCAAGATCGAGTGCTTGATCGTAAGATCAAAACGTGTTGGGCCTTTTTTGGATCTGAATTATAATTTTTATGTTTTAATGTATGTGTAAATATTTACCATTTTTCAGTTCGGTATGATTTTACGCGCCGTGCTAACGATCTTAGTTTTAAGATCTTTTGCAAGCTGACCGATTCTACTTAAGATCTTGTTAGAGTCTATTAGAATAGAATCTAATGTTTGTTTTTGTGTAAATTTTTTATTCTTTTGCAGTTTATCTACAAAATGGAAACTTTGAGGAGAAACCAAACCCTAAAGATCTGTTAAAAACAAAACTCATCGGAAAAAATTCGCTACCGAAATGGGAAATCAACGGTTTGGTTGAGTACGTATCCGGAGGTCCACAACCAGGAGGAATGTTTTTCCCAGTGACTCATGGAACACATGCTGTGAGACTAGGAAACGAAGCTTCAATTTCTCAAACAATTAAGGTCAAACCCGGTCAACGTTACGCTTTAATTCTCGGCGCATCGAGGACTTGTGCACAAGACGAAGTTTTGAGAATCTCTGTGCTTCCACAAACCGGCGATGTTCCTTTGCAAACATTGTATAGTCTCAATGGCGATGTTATTGCTTGGGGATTTAAGGCTACATCTAATGTTGCTAAAGTGACATTTCATAATCCTGGTGTTCAAGAAGATCCTGCCTGTGGTCCTCTTCTTGATGCTATTGCTATCAGAGAGTTTTATCCTCCAATGCCAACAAGAGGTAATGAATGTTTTCAACTACAAACCAAACACACTTTTAAAACTGGTACTTTTTTGACCAAAAAAGTTGAACTTTTAATTGAATACTTTCCATTTATGACTCCTTATTTAATGCTCTTGAAGTGTTTGTTGGCATTTTCCTTTATGTTGAGTTCATTTATAGAGTAGAAGAAATTGGATCCATACCTATAAATAAACTATTGACACAGACATGAATACCAGACAGACACGTTGAATGTAACCTTATGTGACGGTGTTGTGTTGAATACTGACCACACCTTCAATTTGAAGTGTTAGTACCGTATAGATTTCCACCATAACCAAGCCACATAGATAGAGTTTGATAGCGTATTAGATACATAATATTATCGGCCTGAGATTGCACTCCTAGGTTTGAATCCTACTAGATGTTAACAATTTCTGTGTTGGGCCAGTCCATACAGATCTTTGCTCTAGCTTTAAATGAGCTTCCTCTTAGTGGAAGATGTGATTAATCCTCTTGAATTAATCGGTCGCAAGCTGGATACAACTTTTTAAAAATGTGATGCGTAACATTATCCATCTAATTTTGCTTGCTATTTCTTTTGGTGTTAATGTTTCAAATTCTCATTTTCTGACCTAACCATTGCATAATCTATGATCCATTGCAGTTAATTTAGTGAAAAATCCTAGTTTTGAGGAGGGTCCATTCCCGATTTTCAACTCAACCAACGGCGTCCTCCTCCCACCACAACAACAGGATCTCTTCTCACCGCTCCCTGGATGGATCGTCGAGTCTCTCAAAGCCGTAAAATTCATCGACGCAAACCACTTCAACGTCCCATTCGGACTAGGAGCAGTCGAGCTTGTCGCCGGCAGAGAAAGCGCGATTGCACAAATCATCCGAACAGTCACCAACAAAGTCTACAAGATCACATTCTCTGTCGGAGACGCGAAAAACGGTTGTCATGGATCAATGATGGTCGAAGCATTTGCTGCGAAAGACACTTTTAAAGTTCCTTTTAAATCTGAAGGGAAGGGTAAGTTCATAACTGTGAGTTTCAAGTTCAAAGCTGTTGCACCAAGGACAAGACTCACATTCTATAGCTCTTTCTATCATACTAGAACTGATGATTTTGGTTCTCTCTGTGGTCCTGTTCTTGATCAGGTTATTGTGTCCCCTTTGGCCTAAGTATGTGTAATTGAGTTATAGACTTTTACTTTAAGATGTGGCAATTGAGATTTTAGCAAGTCACATGAGTTCTGTCTTTTGTCTTTTGTATAATTGCATGAAGATTAAAGATAATATTCTCAACTATTATTTAAATATTTAAATATTGACATGATTTTGTTAGGGACGTTTTATTTGATATATTTCGTTGGATCGAAGTATCGGAAAATATTGACATGATTTTGTTAGGGACGTTGATACTAATAATTTAAAGAAAAAACAATTAACTAGCCTAAAATAAAAGATTGAAACTCAAATAAATTAATAGTCATTAAACATACATTCCATCTATCTGGATTAAAATGGGATACATTCCATCTATCTGGATTAAAATGCATGGGATCTTTTGAAGTTTTCTGGGTTTGTATGAAAATAAAGAAGGAAGAGAATTACTTTCCATCCTTTCGGTATCTTATAACCTATAAAATAAATTGGATTATGTTTCGAACAAGAAGACCAAAAGGCCTGCTATGGCTTCAGAAGGAGAAAATGAAGGGTGGAAATTTCAGTGGAAGCAATAAGAAAGGTTTCATAACATGAGATGAATAAGTAAATGTACCTTTATAATCAACTTCATTTACAGTTTTTCTAAAAACAAAAGCGGCAACATTGGCCATTCTTATAACTTCTTCAACGACCTGTGTAGAATTATTAATAAATATATAAAATCAATATAATTGATTAAGATTTTACACTACATAAATATATATTTATTTACACATCAATTGAAATACCTTATTTGTATATTTCAAATTTGAAACATCCTTAGCTGTAATATAATCCTCAGGACTCTCCTTTGTAACAGTTCTCTTCCTACAATTGCAACAATAATTTTTATGGTAATTTTATTGTAAAACCAAAAATTGAAATTATAAATTTATTAATACCCTTAATCTTTTTAACACATTTGGATACTTTGCAAGAAGGTAAATAGCCCACGGTTTAGGGCCTTGGGCCGATTGATGGTATTGGTAACAATGTTACGGAGGCGTGTATGGGCTTTTCCATAGGCTGCCGACAATGAAGTTCGGCCCGTAAGTTGAAAAGTGGGCCATTCTGCTCTAAACTTATCCTCTGAGAATAACACAAATTTGTTAATAGGTGGAGTGTATACTATGATGGATGGTGCTCCAAATAGGTGTGTTCTAAACATGCCTGCTCCATCGCCATATCTGATTCATTGTTTATCAACAATGATGTGTCACCATGACAATGAATATAAGCAATATGAATTTTGATGTAATTGTAATTATAACATTATGTTGGAAATGTTATGGATAAAATTGACATTAGACTGATAATGTTAGTGACACAGTTTTGGTATGGATTCTGAGTTTTATTAAAATTTTACAATTTAATTTGTAATTTTAGAATATTTCATGTGAAGAGTCTGTAAATTTCATCTCAACTAACAAAAATAGTGTTTTGTTGAACGTCATCACAAAACACGAGGAAGCACTACTGAGGAAAACACTGGGATGCAAACTAAATCTTTCGCGCAAGCTGTTAATGTCAACAATAATTTTTTTAACACCCCAACCTCTCAACTTCCTCAACCTATTTGTAAGGGAAACAAGGTCGATATCTCAATTCCAGAAGAAGAATACTTGGCTGGTTTTCACGGCTAATGCTGAGGGCAAGTGTCTTGACCGAGTTGCAATATATGCTTCTACTTGGCAAGATCTTTCTAATATTTTTTCTGCTCACTCTATTTCTTAGAGCTTTTTTGAGGATTTCAATGTTGTGATGGTGGCTCATCTTGAAATCAACCAAGGTATCTATTTCTCTTAACCATTAACACACTTTATCATACTAGGAATCAAATGCGTTTCAATCATCTTAATGCGCATTGGAACAGAGCTTTAAACTTGGTTGCTGCTGATGCCTCCCTCATTTCAAATCACTCCAACAAAGTTTCGAAGTCCTTCATTCATGACTTAGTAATTATTAACAAGTTTAATGTTCTCATTCATCCTCCTCCAGCTCCTAAGATCATTGATGTTATTTGGCATCCACCTTCAAGGGGCTGGATCAAGTGCAACTCGGATAGATCTTTCTCCTCCATTTTGGCTTCTTATAGTGGACTGTTTCGTGACTTCAATGTTGATTTTCTACACGAATTTGATGAAAATGTGCATTGCAACTCTTCCTTGCAGGCTGAGCTTTGGGGAGTGATTCGGGCCATTGAGATTGCTAATGCTCATCATTGGAACTGATTATGGTTGGAGACAGACTCGATCATCACCATGCTAGCTCTTAAGGACTCGAGTCTGGTCCCTTGAAACATTAGGCATATGTGGCTTAATTGTAAAATTCTGTTGAGATCTATGTCTTTTATCATTTCTCACATTTTTCAAAAAGGAAATCAATGTGCAGATACATTAGCTTCAAAAAGTTTGAATGCTCAAATTCCTCTTACTTCTTTTGTAGTTCATGACAAGTTTTGTATGCCAAACTTTCGGTTCTGCTAACTCGTGTGCGTTTGACCTAATCCCCTCGTATCTTTGTAACCTTTACTTTATTTATTTTATCCCTCTCTCTTTGGCTTAAAAAAATAGTGGTGATTATAATAGTAACCTTATTTAAGATTATAGGTGAACAAAATTGTGATTGGAGGTGGCAAAGGATGTTGGAGTTTTGAATTTAAGTTACTTATTAGCTCTTAATTATTCATGTTAATGCATTAATATACCTTTTGTTATAATTGGATTGATGATACTTTAATCTATTTATGTTTTATTATATATTTTCTTTGTAACATTTATTTTCATAAGTAATAAGTTATATTATTGAAAGCCTAGTCTTTTTTTTTCTTTACTTTGTTATATATATTGTTAATGTGATATTGAAGTTGGGTTAAGAAGCAATGTTAGACATGAATGTAAGTGTTAAAGTTGTTTGAAGTTTGTTAGAAGTTTCGTATTATTTAAATTCTCGTGTTGTTGAATGTATAAATGTGATTGAGCAACTCATTCTTAGAGCTAGGATTTGAGTAGGCATGGCAAAAAAACCCAGACCCGTCGGGGCCCGCCCGGACCCGCCCCGAAATTAGCGGGGAAAACTCGGTTTGAGTGGGTACGGGTGCGGGTGCGGGGAAAATCCAATTTTTAATTACGGGTGCGGGTACGGGTGCGGGTAGACACTAAGACCCGCCCGCACCCGGCCCCGCCCCGCCCCCGAATAATTTATTTTAATTTAATTTTCTTATTTTACTTATTTTAATATTTATTTATTAATTATATTTTTAACTAAATTATTAATACATTTATTGCAATTAAAATAAATAAATTAATCAAGTTAATATTCATTTACTAATTAAAATTTTAATTAAATAAATAATTAATTTATTAAAATAATCAATTTTTTAATTAAGTTATTAATTTTTATTGTAATTAAAAATAAAATTTTTTTTCCGGGTGGGGGCGGGGCGGGTGCGGGTGCACCCGTTCTCTACTGGGGGCGGGTCTGGGTGGTAAATTTTTACCCCCGGTCGGATTTGGGGGCGGGGGCGGGTGTGTTATATGAAAGCGGGTGCGGGTGCGGGTATAGTAAAACCCGCCCCCGACCCGCCCCGTTGCCATCCCTAGATTTGAGTGAGATTCAAATCCATTTAATAAGTGGTAGTTGAAGAGATGTTCAAAATAATGTTCTTGAGAATGATGATTGTAGTAGTGGTTGACAATCTTATTAACTTATTGTTACAAATAATAAAACATTTAAAGCATATATTTGATTCTATATTTTTAATAAAAGATAATATTTTAAAATTAAGTAAATAAAGTAACTCAACGTCATTTTAACTATACAAAATTTAATTTAAAATTATTTTAAAACAAAATTTAATTTAAAATTATTATAAACACCATCATATAATCAATATATTATACAACACTGATACTTCTTCTGAAAAAAATCGTGTCTGATATTTGTGTTTGCGTGCGAAGATATATAGACCAGTTGTATTTTTAAGAACAAATTAAATTGACTTACTTGCGTCGTTTTGCGTTAATGAAATTATCTGGACGTCGAACAATTTTAAAATACCAAAGAAAATTAATTATTTCACCAATGAAAGGTAATCCCATATGACCTGGTGATAATTTTGTTGAAGATTTTAAGCACTTGAATTTGAGAGGAAGAACATACCAATACTCATTCCACCACCAGAATAAATAGAACAAATACATATAGTTATTGTATTTTTCCAGTACATAATATTTAAAATCAACCCACCAGAATGAAAAAGAGCATCATGGAATAAATGACAAGTTTGTTTTGAATTTTTTTAAAAAAATAATTTTTATAATGTTATAAAAAAATTTTCAAATAATTTTTTCAAATAAAAATTTAGTTTGAATAGTTATATTTTAAAATCAAATTTTAGGTATTTTATCATTTTATCAATTTTTTTAATAAAAAAATTACTTAATTTTAAATCTATTTCACATGATTTTTAATAAAATATTACATTTAGTCTTGCTTTTGTCCGAAAGTGTTTTTTTTAATAGTTCTCATGGATCATGGCCATTGCCATATCTTGTAGAGACTTATTTTTCCTTTTTACAATTTTATTTTGTTGTAGAATTTTAGGTGATAAAAAATTATGAGATATTCCTTTTTCTTCACACAACTTTTTAACAGGTTTTTTTCTTTTTTTTAGTTTACTGCCATGATCATTTTTTATTGTAGCAATGATGAGATATTTCTCATTTTGCATTTCTCATCATTAACACATGTCCATATATTATAATTATCAACAATGATTAGTCTATATTTTTTGAAATTAATGGAATTCATTTTGAAATCTTTATCATATATTTATATCTTTTCTAGTTAATGCAACATTTATAAATGCTAAAATTACTATTTTTATATACATTAATTAACTTAAATCACATGAAAAACTTTTAATTTATCATAACTTGTGCGTGTGTGCGCGCGCGTGCATGCGTGCATGTGTGTATACATACATACACACAAGTGTGTGTATACACGCGCGCACACACGCGCGCGCATGCACACACACACTCACACGGACACACGCGCGTCCACACACACACGCGCGCCCCCACACACACAAGAGTTATGATAAATTAAAAGTTTTTCAAGTCTAGTTTACGGGTCGGTGAATCCAACTAATCTCTCCGATAACATATTTAATTTAAGGGCTTAAATTCATAAGTGGAAAATAGATGTAATCAATGACAAGATAGACTTAATATTACGTCGCTTCATTTGTGATCAAACCAAACTACCGCATATGTCCTATTGTTTTATGACGATCAGTAAAAAATATACGTATTAAAAAAATATAGCGTTTTGTCAAATTTTGAAATTGATTTTATCCGGTAAAAAGGCTCAAATTGGTCAAAAAAGCGACCGAAAAATAGCTGAAACAATAAAACGAGCACACCAGGTTAAAGTACGCAAAAAATAGTTTAAAAATTGACATCTTCAAATTCGATTTAAAAAATTGCCCGTACAACGGATTTTTGCATTGTTGACTTTTAGTTTGACCAAAACGCCTAAAAATTTAACACGTTCATTCTGACTGATAATTCAAACAATATTCATGATAAAATATATGATATGATATGCAGATGATGCAAAGTGAAAATAACGTCAGATGACCGAAAATAATTAAAATGAGGTGGTTAAAATTTAAGGTATGACAGTTTTACTCAGAATTCAATGAGGAATCCAAACAAAACCTCAGTTTCCATTTATTTTCACTCTACATCAAGAATTTAACATGAAACTAGATAAACCCTAGCTTATGAAAATGAAATTAAATCACGTATTAAAGCAATCAATGACCATAAGCAGAGGGCTTTTAATTAGCATATCATCATGAAAACGAAAGAGTGAAGTTTTACGGCCTTGTAGAGATGAAATGAATGCTCCTTTAACTTCCTTGTAGTCCTAGGATTATGAGGATGTGTTCAAAGCTCCTTGAAACCTTCTAAGTCGTTCACCCCAAATCAGTTTGCAGAGAGAAGTAATGAGGTTTTGGATGGAGTGTTTGGATGGTTTCAATCAAGTTTTGGTGCATACAGAGAGTTATGTGTGTTATATGGGAGGTATTGATGAAGAAAAATGGAAGAAAACTCAAAGAATTTGGCAAATTTGAAATTTGGCTCTAATGGAGTTTTTTGAGGTTTTGATATGATGCTCTCTTGCTATGCTTGCTTCTCCCTTGGTTCTCTCTAATTTCAATTGCTTATGAAGAGCATTTGAAACAAGTTTGGTGCTTGCTTTGTTTCTGATTCTTTGCTTTGGAATTTGTCATGTTATGGACACATCATGAAAATGGAAAAATTGACATGTACCATGCATTAGGCTCTGTCATGTATGGACATATTCAACTCTCTTCTTGGCTTGTGTAACTTGCTTTGAGGCATAAAAAATCAGTTGTAGCAGCATGACAACTTAGCTAGCAAGTTTTAACCAACGATACCTTTTCACGACATGCCAAAAATACAATTCAGGTTAGTCAGTTTGGACAAATATTTGTCCTATGTGTAAGGGTCAACTTTGCATAAATATGGGACCTTTGTAAAGCTGGTGCGTAAAGGAACAATTTTCATGTTCATGATAAGCTGAGTAGAGGCTTGGAAAGGTGAGAAAAATATCTCCTAATTCGTGTACAACAAGCTGATCAATACTTAGAAAAAAATCTGGTATATCATGCCAATGTTCATCAACATAAATTTCCAACTTTGGCCTTCAATATCTTCCATCTCAAGAAAGCTTTTGATCTCAAATTTTCCACTATGGTAAAGTAGGAAATATGATCGTTAAATGCAACCCTCAAGTGTTTCAATTAGACTCTTAGGTTGTTTACAAATTAGCCATAAAGTCAAGCACTTGAAAATGTCAAACACTTAGAAAAATTTCTAAGTATTTTGAATCTTGCCATAACTTGAAACTCCAAATTTAACCATCAATTTTTTCCACTTCAAGAAAGCTTTGGGCTTCCAATTTTCATCAACTTGTAGTATCAAATGCCATATTTTAAGGAAACCCTTAAGTGTTTCCATTAGATGCTTGAGAAATAAGTTACAACCTTGGAAAGTTGGTTATTTAATCATGGATTTTTTTACTTAGGGCAATTTCAAAAAACCTAATTTTGACAACTCTTGATCTTTTCTTGATTTAACTTGATAAAACTAAATCATTTTCAACACTTTCATGATCCTTGACTTGAGACGCCCAT